GGAAATTGAAAAAACATTCTTTTTTTTTTAAACATTAAATATATATTTATTAATTGAAGAGACGTGTCTACGGTAGAAAACCAAAACGAATTAACTAGTAGAGCACGGGGACGTTGTTTAGATAAGCCCATTGCGTTTCGATTATCTACAAAACATTTATATACATACATATCACATTATGTATGTAATGCTTTAATAATAAATTTATTAAGATTAAGACGAAATCGGTTGCCGGTGTACGAGTGCTTCAACGCGTTTTAACGTTCGGATAACAGAGTGTTCGGATAGTAATATTGTAGTAATATTGTAGTTAGGATGATCGAATTGCTATTATACGAATGTCTAATAATAGGTACTTATAATTATTATTTTTATAGTTGTGTAGTTTTTGTATAATTAATGCCGAATATATACCTAACACTGTTGTTTTTTAACTTTACTTCCTATATATCTTTAACAAGGTACTTAATGGCACTTAAAACAAAACAATTTATAATTATTATAAATTATAACATATTACTCAATAATATATTTACTATGTATAGGTATAATATATTATGTTATATTTTAGTGAATATTTTAAGGTAAATACTTTATTATTATATATTTTATTATTTAATATATTGTATAGTAACCTATATTATGATTAATGGGCCAACAGATTCATTTTTAGTATATTTCTGTTATATATATATACATATGTTTGTTGCCAAATTAGTATATTAAGTATTTGTAATTTTCTGTATTGAATGCTTTAGGTCGTGTATTTCAAATAAATAAATTAATGAAAAGATCAGGGAGTGTTTTTTTATTCGAGCTGAGTTTACATATCATTTTTTTTGCATGGAAAAAATCATTGCCCCTTACAATCGCCCGTTCATTGTTTTTCACGTTCTCACGACAATATTCGTAATCACTAATTAATATTTTGGTCGGTTACTCATTCTTATTTTTAACATCATCGTCGTTGTTGACCATTTTGTGTGGAACTCAACCTATAGATACGGAAAAAATAAAATGTTGAAACTGTTGGTTGACTATAAAAATCATAGAAAAAACGTTTGTTTGAATTTAAGTAAAATAAAATATGGCAACCCTAGTATATTGTAGACAGTTGTCAATATCATATTTTTACATGTAGCATAAAATTGGGCACCTACTTGGCTACTTATAATATATTTTACCAATTAGGTAATTATAGTAGGTCGTAATTAAAATAGGTTGGACCAGCGAAGCAATAATAATATGTGCTGCGGCGACAGTAAAATGTTATATGGTGGCTTGTTGTGTCGTGGTGGTTGCATTCAGTCATGAAACGTGTTCGAGTGCAATCACCGGCCGGTGTCTCTAGTTCCCAGATGGGTGACCACCAGGACTTTTAGCGACAAATCATTGCCACACACATACACACGTCATGACGTGTTCCAATCCAACCGTACCCTCACTCGCCCTAAAAACAGCTAATGGCCATAGTTACCGGGCTTAAAGTCGAATGTAAAAAATAAAAAAATATTATATACTACTTATTTAACACCGTTGCAGCAGTCTCCGGATGTTGTCGTGAAACTCGGTAAGAGCGTAGGTTGTACGCGAGTGAGCCACCACTGCAGTAACGCGGGTTAAGTGTATTTTCGTATTTTAGTATTTTTAAACCAATAAAAGTGTTTCCGACAAGAACCGAGTTAAACAATTATTGTTACAACCGCTTGACGTTCTACCTCTACAGCATTATACAACGCCGAGATGTAATACCATTATTGGTCGCATACGATATAGAAACAACGTGTGGCCATCTTACCTCAAGACAAGTTAACGCAGGTAGAAAAATTTAATTTTGGATCGTGGTCATTAGATTAGATTGTAAGAGAATTGCAGGTTGAATTGTTTAAGCCCGTGTCACTTGATACGGATGATTGGACAGTAGAAACAATAATTTTCATTAAACAAGACTGCTGTGATTCTATTGAACAATTACAAAAAGTTCTGATGGTTAATTACTGGTTGGGTAATAATAAATTATATTTACTGTTAAACAATGAATAATATATTGTACGTGCACTTATCTTTGAGCAGTATGATTATAATATGGTTCGGATGTAACTACATTTAAATCGTTCAATAATTTACGACCGCGACAGTTGTCTACGAGCATTTATATTTTATGTAGTATAATATTCACTGTCTGCGTTTTCACTTTATTCTGCGATTGTCGAATATACTATTGTTCGTTTCAAGTAAACACTGATTTTTTTTCTGACATAATTTTAAAACATTCCATAAAGACAGGAAAAATAAAATGTATAAATTATAATATGTTTGTTATACGATACCTAGTGGTCAAGTTCACCTCGATCAAATATTACTGCAATCTAATGTCATAATTTTTATTTGAAAACCGCAGTGAAATTGTCAGTTATTTATTGATTTATACTGTATAAATTATACATAAAGGTTAGCCTAATCTATATAATATATAGCCTAAATACATGTACAAAATATCTAGTGTATATATATCGATGTCAATTATCTTGTGATAGGTACATCACAATAAAATAAGTTCATGAATTTCTATGCTAAAAAGCAAGTAGTCCATGTCATCGGGGTCGGCGAATTGGACATTTTTTTAAAACCATTAAAAACCTAGTGACGGTAAACTGGGTATAAACCTTCAAAAAATGTTCCATAAAGAATGTCCTAGTTTCAAAGTAATATATTTAATAAAGTATTACACTCACAAATTGAAGTAGGTACCGATCAAAAAACTTTTGGCTATAGAGTTTTGAAAAAACTAAAATGTTTTCCCAAATGTCCAATACGTCCCCGCAAACTCTGCTGGCAATAACGTCACGTCATGTGTAATTATATAATAAGCCAACTGTATTTTCGATTCTTTCTCTAAAGCGAGTCTTTGGCAGAGGAAATAAACTACTGCAAACTTACATGGTTCGTTTGACAACACTGATATATCACAGCATCACGACTATGACCAACACATATATTTTTTTTGCATTAGGAACAACAATATTATTATACGTTTACTGCATCAACGAAAGTAGAAAATTACTTTTAAGACGATGTTAACGAAAAATTTGTCATATCTCTCAGACCCAAGTACAACATAGAGAAAACGCATTCACGCGTAAAATAGTTTTTATGATTTTTTAGTAGTTAAAGAGTAAAATCACCTACTACAAAAATTATAGAGGACAATATATATTTGAGAGCTGGACACATTGATTTTATATTTTATTACCATTTGAATTTCAAAATACAAATACGTACTTTGGAAATGTAATTTTTTTGTAAATTTAAATGGATATTAAATTTGTTGGAAACATTATTATTTATTATTATTATCATTATTATTATTATTATATTTAGACAAATCGATATATCAACAAATTGACAAACTCCTCGAGAATATTATTCTGTACAATTTTTATAATGGGTTATTTTACTCTAAGATTAATTCAAAACATAAAAATGTAATTGATTTTGCATTGATGAGTTTTGTTTATGATGTTTCACCTGGTCCATAGAGAGAAAAGTGAAAGCAAACAGTGTGCTAACATTAATCAAGAGAACAAAGAATTTTTATATTTTGAACATTAAAATAATAAGATGTAAGTGTTCAGTATCAGTACTAAAAATATGTTGGACCTTAAAAGTCAATAAACAATATTCACTACTAAAATATTTCTAATTTTTTAAAAAAAAGGAGGAGTAGGGAGTGGTTCAGACATTTGAACCACTGTTACAGCCACGAAATCATATAAATATTGCAAAAATATAAATATTTATTACAATATGTATTTTTTAAGCATAAGTATACATAACTTAAAAATAAAGGTAAAATATTTTAATTAATTATTAGCTAAGAATATAAACATATAAATTAGCGAATAAACAACTAATAACACATATTTCTTTGAATTATAATATTGAGTAAACTTAAATTTTCTATAACAACATTCTCTAAAGAATAATTTTATATTTTCGGTAAAGCAGTAATCAATAGAAAAAAGTTTTTTTTATATTTTTACCGTTAAAATAATAAAATACAAGTATCCAATAATTGTATTAATAAAATATTAAACATAAATAAATGTTCCTTCTGTTACGGTCTTGAAATTGTATAAATATTATAAAACTATAAAAATGTCTTAACATTAAATTGTAGTATTAAGTATACATAATTTAAAAATATAATTATATAATATTTTAAATTAATTATTATTTACAAACTAACACACAAATAAAACTCATCGACTAAACAACTCATATTACATATTATTATTTTTTTAATTACAATATTAATTGAGTTAACCAACATTTTTTATCACCTGTGGTCTATGAACTATATATTTAATTTACATGGATGCACGGGTGCAGCAAATTTTTATTTTGCTGTACCGATACACCCTATCGGTTTTCTTGGGCCAGTGGATAATAATTATTTGTTATGCTAAAATGAGATGTTCAGTAAATAAAATGAAAATGTTTTCCAAATAAAAAATGAAAATATTCCTATGCAGACTATGCCTATCTACATAACAATGTGTCAGGATAAAATCATCTGAGCTCGGCAACTGCAGGTGGGATTGAAAAATTCTTTGAACACAATATAATAATATGAGTCGTATATTAATAGCAAGATAGAGATTTGAGACACTTGAATACAATAGTACGTTTGCAGTCGTAAATTATATTTTATTATTCTTTACCATTTGGTGACAATAAATGGTATAAGCTCATGTAATATTGAGTTTTAATTTTTTTATGAACACAATTATAGTAGTATGCATTATCGTATTGATTTGAATTACCTATAACACATAATATTATAATATATTATTGTGTTTAATCGGTGGGTAGTAGCCAGTATAGGTATTACCTACCTACGGTATTAAATTAAAATATAGGTATAATATTATGTTTATAAATCTATTCGATAGTGAATATTATTTGAAAAAAAACTGTTAGGTATGTAAAAACGTTAACTAGTCACCGCCGCAGTCACCTCCGCCGCCGCCGTCACCTCCGCCTCCACCTCCGCCGCCGCAGTCACCTCCGCCTCCACCACCGCCGCCGCAGTCACCTCCGCCTCCACCACCGCCGCCGCAGTCACCTCCGCCTCCACCACCGCCGCCGCAGTCACCTCCGCCTCCACCACCGCTGTCACCTCCACCGCCGCCGCCGCCGTCACATCCACCACCACCTCTGTCACCGCTGTCACCTCCGCCGCCGCCGCCACCGTAGTCACCTCCACCGTCGTATCCGCCGCCCAAACCACTTATACCGTTGTATACGTTGGAATAACCGGCAACGCCACCGCCACCGTTTCTAGTTCCCCTGCCAGCATAGTTGAAGGATTCCTCATAATGTCTGCAGTCGGAGCAATTTTGATGAAGACGTTTGCGAGGGTAGTAGTATCTATCACCGGTATCCCTTTCATCTGTACTACTTCCGCACCCACACATGTTTCCGTGTATCGCTATAATTAAAAACAAACTATGATAACAATAATTTATTTGTTGTCAAAACAAAATTAGTTTTTATTATTCTTAAAAACCAATGTTTTTAGTATTTTACTTCTTGAGTGTGTGTGTGTGTGTGCGTGTGCGTGGTTTTGTGTGACCGTTAGAGAGAGGGAGAGAATTCCTCCTTAGTCCCACTTTATATTGTTAATAATAGGTAATATTTTTTTTTCTTACTGCTGTAGTTATCAAATAGTCAGTGTCGGAAGTCACTAATACTAAGTACCTACTTGCGTTAAAAAATACTTCGTTACTTTTATGTAAATATGATATGATATAATGTGTTATAATAATAGTGATATCACTGCAAAATACTCAAATTTTCGTTTTTAGTTAAGAACGTTTTATGATTAGAAGGGAAAATCTCAAGCAAAACTGTTAATCTTACCAGCGTCCAAAAAGACGTAATTTATACTTTTTTACTAACAGTATAATAAAATAGTGTAGACCAAAATAAATTTACATCAAATATTTTTAAATTTACCTTATTTATTTTATTTTAGGATAAAATAGAAAAATAATATTATTATTTAGAAAATTTAAGTGCTTATAGAAAGTAGTCCAAATTACACCGATTATCTCATATCTGATTATTTAATAATTGTTTTTTTTTCACGTAGGTAGTTAACATTATATTATTAATATTGTTGAGTTTATTAAATATGTAGTTGTAACACTTACACAGCCCATAGGTATCGACTAAATATTATTATGAACAAAAAATGTACATTTAATATTATAATTAATACAATATATATATTATATACATACATCGAATACGTCATATATCAATATCAAGTACCTACTTACAATTAAATCAGTGGTTTTGTATGCACTTTTGCAGGACGATGTATTATATAGATTTATATTATATTATTGACTTTTGAGGAATGGAATAATTTACTATCGATTGGTAGCGGACTGACACGCGTCACACCAGCACATACGTTCACCATACAATATTATTGTCCGTGTGCGTCTTCGTTGTGCCAATGATATAATATGGCGCCCCACTGCAGTTTTAACACAGCTCAATAGGATAGGTGCTGTAGGCCTGCATTTTTGAAATATTTTCACTCGTGAGTAACGTGTTACCAACTTCTAATAACAAAAAAAACCAGTTTTTTATAAGACGCCGGTCCAAGACTATAGACCGGCCAGTGTTTAAAATATTTTGACTTGTGAGTATCGAGATACCAACTATACCGACGTACTACCTATGTTCCACACGCTGAGCCACTTGGTAGAGGAAAAAAGCTATTGGAGGCATATTATCTATTATTTATCAACGACAAATACATATAAAAAAAATGTTAATTACGGTGTGTGTGTGCTATTCCCTATTCCGATTTCCGTTTAGCCGTTTCGTCACATTGCATTTTCGTACTTACGATTTCAATAACATGTTTTGGAATAATAATATTATTATACGATATTATAGGTAAGGTACCCTACCTACGAGGAAAAACAGTGCCGTCACGCCCGACGTTCAACGTAGTATCATATTATAATATTAAATATTAATTTGTAGTGGTTATGTTATCGATGCGCATCTTCATCGCGGCTGACCTTCAGTGACTCTCACCCGATGCTGACCTGTTACAAAAAAAAAAGTTTTCTATTCCGATCAAAGTATATATTATACATATGTTTATGTTAATTATTATTAACAGGTGATTTATTTGAATGTTGATATATCTAAAAAAAAAATTCAAACAAATAGTTTCTTATTTACTAAAATGAATATATACTAATGCTAATATTATATAATAAAAAATATAATATATATAAAAATAAAAAACAGATGTAATAGCCAATGGGTACTCATTATTGATTATACTCGGACAATGTGTACACATTTTAAACTATTGATACGTTTTTAATAATTACTATAATTTTCCAAACCTATTATCATGGTCCAGCTGTTAATTATCATCTTTCGTACTAAATGTTAAAATACTCAAAAGTTACTCGTTAGAATTTCGATTTTTCTACACATTCACATTTAAAAAAAAGTCACGTCAATAATAGTTTAAGAGGGGGGGAGGAAGGTCATTATTATTCGAGGAAGTGAGTAACACTGCAAGACACAGGACACTACGTAAAATGTAAATGATATAACAATTTGAGTATTTTAAAATGTTGTATTGAAAAATCAGTCAGAAATAAAAAACGCGTATCAAGACCAAAAACATATTTATGATAAAACTGTTTATCGAGATGTGAAAAACATTGTTTAAAAAATAAAATTTTCGCTAACCATATTCAGATGGGTACTGGCTCAAAAATGTTTACTTCTCAAAAAAAATATTTTCAAGCAACCGTTCTATTTGACCTTTACTAATTACTCACATAAACGTAATTTAAATTATTTTGTGGAAGGTGTTTTACATTTTTCAATTAACTTATGGGCACACTGTTCATCACATCCTAAGTATTCCTACACTATTTTTGATTTTTTCGTACACTTTATTATATCTATATAATTATTTAGGCAATAACAGTTTTCTACTTCTTTTAGTAAAATATGGTTTTGACAAAAATTTTTGGAAACTTTTCATCTAAAAGTTTAATTTAATTTAATTTAATTTAGTTTTGAACAACCTAAAAATACTTTATCTGTGTTTAACGTTTTTAATAATAAAATTTTTAGCATGACTTCCTGTTATTCAATATAAATTAAAACAGGATAATATATAATATACCTAGTCTAAATATAAGATATATAAATATGATACTTTTGGAGCCCAATTTTCATTATTATACAAAACACAGTTTTTATGTAAAAACAAAAAAAAAATGCTTCATTGCAATTCGTTACACTTTGGTGAAGTCCACTTTCTTCGCTCGTAATGAGGATATATTAAGCAAATACCGTGTGTTTGTTTAGTGCTTCAGTGGTTAATGATCCATTTTTTGGTAACACAACCGCATGTATGACTTATACTTCATAAACCATAATATTATATTTTAACCTCTAGAGAATATGTCCCTTACATCTATTTCGCTTGGCAAGTGTAATAACTGTTTGATATTTCACTAGTGTAATTTTTGTGAATCCAATATTTTGGCAGACGCTTTCGAGTATAGTGTGCAGTTGTGAACCAGATCAAATACAAACAAACGCGGATGAAAAAAAAATATATTTTATACTACATTACATTAAGCTAACATTAAATATTACATTAAAATTGTTACATCACATTTATCATTAAATATAAATAATACAATACTTATTACTTAGGTACCCATTTTCTTTCAATATTTTTGATATAAGTTTTTATTTTACTTCCAATAAAAATATATTACATATAAAAACATTCAATGGTAGTAGGTACAGTTTAAAAAATAGTTTCGTTAGACAACTATTATAAATTATTATTAAAGATGTACATTATACCTATTTATTTCCAACTTTATCTGTAATTCTACAAACAAAGATAATATTACAGTTTTCTTTTATTTATTATTACCTAGCAATTAAATAATGATAATAAATAATTATCTTTTGTATACTGTACTTGATGTATTTTTTAGTTTTTAACTCGGTATTTGACTGGTAGGTACTACACTAATTTATCACAATAAACCCAAACTTCGGGGATTTTTTATCTTACTTTATTAACTGCTGTTAAACACAACTATAGGTGCATATCGTGTTTAAACGAAGTATTCACTTACCTACCTACATATATTTTTAAAAGGGTTTTTTTTGTTTTTAATTGCCCGTGTTCTCTCCATTTATCCACAACTGTTTCATTGTCAGCGTACAACGTTTTAGAATTGAATAGTTTTGTATACTTGCATGGTATAAAATAATGAACAATAAAATATTACCTAGCACATAAAATATTATATATTATACATTTTCAATTGAAAAACGTTGTTTGTGACACAATCAGAAATGGGCATTTTCTGGTACTGTAAATTCTCAAAAACATACACAGTGATTACACGATGTACTAATTAGTAATCAATGATTAAATTGATACCAAGATACGTTAAAAAATATATATCTGAATAAACGTTACACATATTTATTATTTACACTTGCACAATATAATAGGATCATAAGGGATGATAAGAATATATATTATAGAGGTTCATTCTAAAGAAAATATATATTTTCTTTAGAATTTAAATTATGTTCATCAAACGTCCGTATATAATATATATGTTATTATAATATGAATGAATAAATAATAAAATATTATAAGTTTGTTATTTTAAAGAAGTTGTACGTAATAAATATTTTTTAATTTATGAAATCGATGATTATACCTGCAAAATTCAAATATAATGGAGCTTAAATAAAAATACTTAGTGCATAATTTGTTGTAGTATAATATCGACTATCTCTATATTAGACGACAATTCATAGTTAATGCTAGTGATGTTACTATGAAAATCAGTTTATTGTATTTTAGATTCTGAGTATAGAAAAATACTGACATATTGATTTAGCAAAGATGACATTGTGTGTGATTATAAGGTTTCTGAATTTGAAATATTTTACTCTTCTTGAAATATTTTAATGAAGTTATGAACGTTAATCAATAACTTATCAGTTATCAACCAATGCAGTTTGCGATAATTATAATATTATGTCAATGGTTATACTTTAATATTGTAACTGTATAAGTATGAAATATGGTATATTGGACATTGGTATTAATTGTGTTATAATTTATAAATCATATCAGAATAACTAGAATCTTAGGGGATTAAAAATCAAGAATCTTAGGGGATTAAAAATCAAGAATCTTATATTTATAATAAAGTAATACAGTAATATAACTTATATTGTTATATGCAGGGCTAGAATTTGTATGCAATGAAAAATGGTAAAATAATATGCATTTTATTTACCAAAAATATGCATTTAAATTGTTATAAGATAAACACAAAAATATAGTTATAAGAAAAATAGTTATTTGTTGAAA